TCGCGCATGCGCAGTGATACCTATCTGAAGAAACAGAAGTACCTATGCGAGAAATAAGCAAAAATTATGAACGGCATGTTTAAATTTGTATATTTACTTATTGTTTTATATTTTTTAGTTTCCAAATCCTTTTTTCTTACAAAATTACGTAGAACGTAGCACAAGAAAGACGAAACTGATGAGAGATAATCTAGCTTTGCGGTAAGTTCGCCGCTAGTTGGCTTCGTGCCTACTGTCCGCTCATCAGTGGTGAGAAAAACAAATTGGACATTTGTCCTTTTCTAACTTACTATCATTGTACGAAGTACAACGGGCACGAACCAATCGCATTTTATCGTTACCACCGCGAAAATGTGCCTAACGAACGTAGTAAAGGCTCACTTTGTTAGATGGCGTCTCGAAAAGCGCCTAGCTCTGACCACTAAAATGTCGATAACGCAGAGACGATCGTTACTAACACAATTGCGCTATCCTTTCCTTATTACATATATACAAAATATACAATATATATACAGAACTTACGTAAATATATGTTGCTTTGTATTACTATATTCAGCGGAAAACTTAACCACATATGGTCTGGTTGTAATCATAGTTTAGATTTGTAACGCGAAACGTTAGTTTTTTTGAGGATTCGTCATACGAGGGATATCGATAGCGTCTTCCACTTTTATTATTAAGTTAGATAATCTTGTGAATCAAACACATCTTATCCGTATATTATTCGTACATCATAACTGTTGATTGAAAAATTCTAAATGATTTTTATTGATTAATTCGATATCGTTTCTTCTATTATTTCTCATTTTAATCTTTACATTTGTTTCTTTGCACATTTTTGAATATTTATTGTCGTTAGAAGCAACTTTAAATCATTATATACAAATCTTAGATACAATGTGTCTGAAAATATTTAAATTGAAACTAAAAGATACGCTGATGAGGTTTAAAGTCTTGAACAGGTTTAAAGCGTAAAAAAAAAAAAACGAAATGATAATAATGATAATTTTTTATCCAGCAACGAATATCTTTTTATTGTAGTGTCGAAGTTTAAATAATTAATAAATCTAGCTTCTGTAGCTTTAAATTTAGCTTCGGTAGTAACGATATTAGCTGTCGCTATTTCAATAATATTATATCTTAATATGATATCAAATATATATCTTGACTGCTATATTTTATTTTCTGCGACTAATTCTTTTTTACATATATATGTTATTTAGCACATATGTTGCTTGGGACATGCACACATATATATGGATAAAGTTATCTATGTCCTAAAAACTTTTCGTTAACCAAAGATTAATGACATAAAGATAATTTGCAATATATATATATATATATATATATATATATATATATATATATATATTTTGAATTTTATTAACATTTAATATTCTTTTTTTCTATAATCGGTTATATTTTCTTTTTCAAGAAAAAACCAAAGTTAAACACGAATCTATGATGACAATAGGAAAAATGCAGTCAAAATGTGAGTTAAAATTTTTTAGTTACATTTAAAACTGTTGATTATTCTCTAGCTAATTTATTTACATGTCTATATCTGCGATTCAGACTTATATCGACCTAATTTCTTTTACGATTGATTATCTAAGAATCCATTGTGACTTGCTATCACTGATTTTTACCTCCTTCTTATCAAGAAACTCTTTCTTGTCAAATATGTATGTAAAAAATAATCGTGTTAAGCTCCCGTTTTTGGCTTTCGATGTTGTAAAATTACATGTCGTGAAAAGGTGATTAAGAACTCATATATAAGACGTAGATAATAATATACGTGTTACATATCCTTACAAGTTTCTACATTTCATTACATTATCCGGTACAAAGTGGCTGTCGTTTATCTCTAGTCGTGTTCTCATTTGTGAACACTACCAGAGTCATCGATTTGTATTTTAAGATTTAACTACATTAAATTACTGTTCCCCAGTTTGCGTTTCCTCGCGGAAACGATGTAAAAGTCAAGAATTAAGTGGCAAAGTAACTTTTGACTATGAGAACTAGCGTCAGATGCAGCGATAACGGGGATAAATTTAGACGATAAGGGAGAAGTAAAATGAGTTCTTGGTCGCTTACTTCGTACGAAGTTCGCTGAAGAAAACCGGCTTTATTTTGCATTGAGTTCCGGCTCGCGTCACTCGCACTGGCTGCAGTTTATAATAGACACCCAAAGTGAGAGCGGGAACTTCGCGTTGCAAACGATTTGTCGCTTTACACGTGCAGATCGTCGAGCGACGCACGCATTTGCATTGTTCGTGACACGATAAATCGTCTATATGAATTCGGCTTTGCAAGTCGCTGAGGCTCGTATTAATAGCTGTTACACGAAACTTGTTTGTGAAAAATATTCATATTTAAATTTTGAAGTTTGTGAGAGCGTTTCACATTTTTAGTTATGATGATTTTATATGTGATTTAATTCAAAATCTCAGATCTAATTCTGAATTCAAATTTAAATATCTCACGTGAGACAAGTTTCAAGTAATGATTATTGATATGAGTCTAAGTGTTTTACGCATTTGAAATATGCGGATTATGAAGTAAATCCGCGTTTAATTAGTTTTATTAACCGTCGCAGACGTTTTAGAGTCCCAGTTATTTCGTGATAATAAATTTGTTGGAAAATCCTTAACAGATTTCTTAGTGTATACATCTCTTTAAGCAGTGTATATATCTCTTTAAAGCTGTGACCGCTGGGTTAATTAAGTCGCGTTAAATTCTTTGCGCATTGAAACGACTTGTAAATATTTCGCGAGGATAACGGAGACAAGAAAATTAGGCATTATTCACTATAGTTTCCTCTCTTTTTTTCTTTCTTTCTTCTTCTATCTATTTATCTATCTATCTACCTATCCATCTATCTATCTCCACACTATAGTTCCATTACGTCAAATTGATACTTCACACGAAGTATCAGGGTACGCGTGAGATTTAACAAATCAATATAACGAGTTTTACGTTCAGCCAATATTCTTCTGTGAAGTTCGACCGTTTCGAAGTAACTGAATTAGTAGCGTGGTCTCAGAGAACTACGAGACAGTAATAATTATTAAATATCGCCGAGAAACGATACGAATCAATTATTTATCTCTCTAACAATATTTATTAGTGTATAATCTTTTATTTTATTGTGCATAAGCACAGTTTTTAACTTGGTTACATTTTATTTTGAGTACACACAGAAAAATATCATTTTACTGCTAAAAGAAGCGATTACTCAGTTTATTTTCCCTCTTTTAGGTAATAGTTATCTTCAACAAAGAATACTTTCCTTATGTGTGACAATAGTTTCATAATATATACCTATCGGATATTTTAGAAAAGCTCGTTATCATGTACTTAAAAGAAGAATTTATTTGTTTTTATTTTTGTTTTATTTTAATATATTCTTTATTTACGTGTTAAACTTACTAGGATTTAGAATGTATTTTAAGTCAATGTGTGATAATAATAATGAACTGATGATAGATTTGTAGATATATAAATTTATGAAATACTTTAAACAAACGACATTCATCTGAATGCAGTATGTATTTTTCTGTGTGTACAGTAATCAATCAATATAATCTCTCTCAGAGAGATTATATTGTCGATAAGACTTTTCATATTTTTGTAACAATTTATTTTATATTAATTATTGGATGCATAAAACGTAAATAATTGCGAACATAAGAGAAATTAAATAAGAGATGTTCAATACATGTCGAATAAATTTACCGAAATGTCCTCGCTTCAAATTTGTTTATCGCATAATTTGTTATATTTAATAGGGCAAAAATGCGTAACGAAAGGGCTGAACTTTTCACGATTTTGCGCATTCATACATTATATTTACTCAACCGAAATTATAACTAATTGCACCCGTTCACAATTTGACTTATTCTGGCGATTTAAATCGAAAATTAAATATAGCTCGTTTTTTCTCATATTTTTCCTTTAAGCGTATCTGATTCTCATCAATCAGGCAGTCGATATTCGTTTAATGCAGACTAGCAGGGGTGACTATTGGAAAATATCTGTTTAATTATTTCGCCTAAACTTTTAATCCTTACGATATCGCGAGTACTTATAAGCACTCAGCAAATATCCTGCGCTACATTCTGCATAGAGCTCCCGTGAAAATGATTTCGTTGTTCCATTTTATTCAATTGCACTCGATAACGGATGCGTAGCGTGAGTAATACTATCTTGATTACATAAAATTACTCGTGTAAAATTTCGCGTGTAGTAATTAAACGTATAATGTACACATGTGCTGCGTGCGTCGCTACAATGTACCGCGTTGAGAGCAAGCCGATTAATTTGTTATATGAGGCAACTTATTTCGTCCATTCGATCGGCTACACGTAGAGTAGTTGTCTAGTTGCATCATAAGTCACGTTAAACTTCACACACTGATCAATATTTTGAAATCACTGATACAAAAATATTTATTAAAAATAATTATCTGGATTACATCATCTGAATAATAATTCAAATAAGTATTTTTGATAATAAACATTTTTACCGGTGATCATAAACTTTTGACCGGTACTGTACATAAACGTTGAATACAATAAAGGGCGAAATTCGGTGATGGTCAGGCCGCGCGGTAGTAAATAAAATAAATGCCCCAATGATTAAAACATTAAAAATATATTTGTATTTAATATTTCTAAAGAAATCTTTGAAATTTTGTTAAAATATATTTTTTTATTTGCAATATTATTTAATGAAGTTTGTAATATTTTGACCATTTAATTGTTTAACGAAGTTTATAATATTTTAACTATTCAATTATTAAATCTTGTCCAGCAGTTAGGACACAATTTATTTTTTAGTATAATTGGCATTATTTAATATATCTCATTAAAATTGATATTTATTTTACTAATATTTTTGATTATTTTATTTCTTGTTATTTCTCGACCGTTGACAAACAAAGGTTCTGTGTAACGTTAGTTTTCTTTATAATTTCACTAATTACTTATTAATAAAAATGCAAAACTGATTCTGGTGCTTTCTTATTAGTTTAGTTATTGGGACATTTACCTTAGGGTATGCACGTCGTTCGTTGCACATATTGCACAGAGTGCATCCAAAGTCTTCCGGATTACACTAGTGTGGTTTACGTGCGCGAGATTATGTATTCAGATACTAGCCCGTTTAAATTACTTACCCGCTGGGTATATACTACCGAATATATGCACGTCGGCGAATCGCTCATCAACAATCGTTGTCTGGTCGGTTATTCTTCATTAGATCTTCCTAACTTAAGAATTTAATTAATATCAAAATCTCTTCCAAGAATATTAAAGCATACCAAGAAGCTTTTTCATGATGCAATAAAGATAAACAACATCGCGATTGCACTTCTTGAACTCTCTCACACCTAAATATTAATCGTATAATATAATGCGAAAACCTGTTATTATCAAGGCGAATATTCCAATTAGTCACTAAGTAACTTATTGTAGAAATAAATTAATAAGGTAATAAGTAACGTGTTAGCTGAGAGAATACGTGCAAAATTAATTTTGTTGGGAAACTTGAACATTCGGAATTTTAATTGTATTGCATTTTTCTAATTTATGGGAAGATTTTATTTTATTTATGATATTTTCTCAATCGTAACTGACTATTTACGTGGTATGACAGTCTAGTTTTGTTCCAATTTGTGACACAAGATGAATATTCTAATTAGTGTCCAAGTAACCTTATTGTTAAAATAAAGAAATGTATAAGTTACTTATAAAAAAAATAGTAATCATTATTCAAATGTCAGGAATTGATGTAGGATCATAAATGTAACACTAACCTATTACTGACTTGAACATGACAATTTATAGACTAATGACTCATGTTTGTACTATCAGACTAATGACATTAATACTAGTGTTTAACTCTATATAATTTGCTCTATTGCTTAATTTTATAAAACGGATTCAATTGTCACGAATTGTGATATTAATCGGTACATTCATCTTCTGTGTTTGGGATGCTCCTGAAAAATAGCTCGAGTTATTAAATAAGCAGGGAAACGTTAATAATTCTAAATCTACCTCTGTACAAACGAACCATTCGGTGTATTGAGATAAATGATTGTTGTTGTTGTTGTTGTAATTATGGTCGTGGAGCTATGTCCATTGACCAAAAGAAAAGTTCCAAAGCTAGGATTGAAAATGTTCCGAAAAATAGATGAGGAAATTCCTTCCGGTATTAGAATAAGTCTTTAGAGTCTTCTCCCTGTTCTTCTGAGAAAGAGCTATTGAGATAAATTATTAGCTGGAAAGCTCCAAGGTGGATCTCTAGTTTACATCGTTCTGCCTCTCATGTACCGTCGTGCGTCACAGACTGTTATTTCTTGTGTTGCGTTCTTGGGAAAATTTGGTGGGATTTGTGCGTCTCTCGGGTAACGACATAATTAGCTCGCACTAATGCCCCCGTTAGCGCGCGCGGCATCAGGTACAATCGTTAGTCTCAGCCTCTCGGCCTAATTATACTCGGATCGGCGTTCTCTTCTATTTTCCGCTTCTATTCCGCCCAGGTGAGACTGCGTCTCACCATGTCCCGCGTGTTGCGCACCGCTTAATTTGAGCACGAATTAAAACGTCATCGTCGTTGTCATCGTTGTTTCGACGGACGTCGATGAAAAGTCGATCGATCCGTTGGGGGGTGGATCGACAACGGGAGGCTCGCTTTTCGAAACGCGGCCCATCCCTCTTCGCGGACGGTAGCCCTCCGTCGCAGCGCCTGCGCTCGAACACTTCCTATAAGACTCCGAAGGCCGCTCGCACCGGTTTCAGTCTGCCCCGCGGTACCGGCGCCGCGGTCGTCGTTGCGCGTCTCGTACAAACCTCCTTCGAGGACGATACTCCCCCGTCATGATGCTCCCCGGCTTCGACTGAGAGCGCGAGGGCGACAGTCAGAGCAAGAAAGAGAGAGAAAAAGAGAGAAAGAGAGAGAAAGAGAGAAGGGCTCCTCTTTTCCTCCCCCTTCCCCTCCCGCCGCGATAAGCGAAGCAGCGTCGCCCGTCGCCGACGTCAGCAACGACCGTCGCTCTCTCCTCCTGGACGATCAGCGTACGTTGACATAAAAACACAGAACGAGCGCTATTGCGAGCGGTAGTTCTGGCCGTGGTTGTTGCGCGGACGTGGTGGTGGCTGCTGCTGGTAGTGGTGGTGGTGCTGGTAGTGGTGGTAGTGGTGGTGGTGGTGGTAGTGGTGGCGGCGGCGGCGGCGGCTGTGGCGGCGACGGCGGCGGCTCCTCGGGATCGCTCTCCGCGGCCACCCCCTACGCGCGCGGCATGTGGATGTGCCCTGTGTGTTATTTAATCGACATAAGCGAACGTAACTCCTATGATGGTGATGTTACCTGTCGCGTTGCTAAATAGTGGGATCGCCGACGGAGAACGAGCGTGGTGTTCGCTTCTCGGTGTTCGATAGCGGATATTGCAACTAACCTCTCCCCCCCCGATTGGTAAACCCTAGACAAAGCTGTCTTTGGCCGTTGTGTTTTCTCTCGGATCTCTCCTACCTTCTGCTCTTCCTCCCCTACTTCTTTCTCTCTTCTCGTTCCCTTCTATGGTGGATGAGGCCGTCGTAGGTTTTCTGTGTTTTGTTTCCCCTTCTTTTATTCTCTTTCCGTTGCTGTGCGCGGTGGATGGAACTTTCGTTTTCTCTTTGCCCTTGCCGTAGTTGTTTATTGTTGCTGGATGCCGTTGCTCTTAGTTGTTGTTTAGTAATGAATGAAGTTGTTCGATGGTGGAATGAAGATTGCTCGTTGCTGTGTGGTGAATGAATTGGAGTCCGTTGGTTGGACGCCATGTGTGAAGATGTTTTTCGTCGTAGTTAGTCGGACTTTTGTTCGATCGTTTAAACGGGGCAGCACTTGTGGCTCTTACCGTTCCGCTGTACCAAGACTCCTGCATAACGCTTGGAATATAGTAGGGAATATTTGAAAAGTGTGTGTACAGTAAATCGCAAAACGATTTGGACACAATGAACTTGAGAGTGTAACTAATGGTCCAATAAGAGAACGAATTATTCAAAACTAAGTTCTCTCATTGGATCATCGATTACGCTCTGAAGTTCATCGTGTACAAACCGTTTTGTGACTCACGTATTCGTGTGTCTCATTTTTTTACATCTGCGTACAAATAGAATAGACAGTGGAGAGTGCAGTCAACGCGCGTCAACGCAATAATCTGAACATTAATATTGGGTCTAATCGACTTACTTTAATTCGTTAAGTGCAATCGTCCATATATTCTCACGCGACATGAACACGAGAAATCGTTCATTTCTCTCGCAGCATGAGCTCCGTGAACTTCCACGCACGATAACCTAATAGATTAACTCGGGTAATTAGGACACAATTAAACTCTTACTTACGAGACCATCCCTTGAAGTTAATGCGAGGAGGCCGCGTCGTCGTTACATCGTTAAGGGATTCAACTCGTTCTACTTTTATCGGCTTGCGTTACCCGTCGGAGATTTGGGGAAATAGGATGTCGAGAGAGAGAGAGAGAGAGAGAGAGAGAGGGGAGGGGAGGAGGGTGGGTCCTCTCCATTCGAGAAAACTAGAGGGTGGATATGGGGTGGAGAATGATGGTGCATTTGGCGCGGGCGTTTGTATCTTGTTGATGTCGTCGCTGCCGCGGCGAATACGAGGCGAGGCCGTTTTACTTTTTTGTTTTGTCGTGCGATATGCGTACCATGCAGCTTCCGCAATGCTTAACGTATTAACCGCCGCGCCGCGTTGATATCGTTTTGCGCGGCCTGACTTCTCTTTTTTTTCGGGTGAATTTTTGTCGGACCGCGTGCGGAAAATCCGCTGCCGAGCGCTGCCGTCTCTTGACAAAATAGAGAAATCGTCCCTGTGCGATTTCTCGTGCGCGCGCGCATATATACGTCGTATATTCATAGTTTGAAATAAATTTTGCGCACACATCCGCAAGATATAAATTCAAATCTTCACGTCCCCAGAATTAGGTCGTAGCGTCATCGATAAATTTATAGTTTTGCGAATTCCTCAGCGTTGATTCAGATGGATATCTCGATATTTCTCTCTGGTATCTCTCGATATCTCTCCTTGGATAATCTGAACTGACTGAGAAAGAGACAGAGAGAGAGAGAGAGAGAGAGAGAGAGAGAGAGAGAGAGAGAAAGAGGTATAAGTGCTAAAAATAAAATAATACGTTTTACAGTTTAAAATTTTGTTTGACTTTTTTATTTTACGATATATCATGTTTCATTGTTCTAATAAATTGTAAAAATAAAAAAGAAACTTGTGGTGGGTTCATAAATGGGAAAGTAAAAGAAAGAGAGACAGAGAGAAAGCTCTTTGTTTATCGAGAAACTATTGATAAGCGAAGAGATATTGTTGCAGGATATCATTTGCATAGAAAAGCATTGCGTTGCAAAGGTCGCTTAATGGCGTTTTGCTTTTCTCCGAGATGAGTCTTATCGATTACGGGGTGGCGTCACAAGGAATTAGAATCTCAACTTTGAAAACTCATGGCGCTTTTCGCGACGTTTACTCTATCAATGATGACTGAAGGTTAGGCGAAATCGCAAATCGAAAATTGGCGGGCGAATCGAGTCGGGAATCGAGACCGGGCGAAATATATAAACGCGCGATTAAATGCCATATCCAAACTGTTCTCTCTGTATCTTTCTTTCTTGGTCAGATTTCCGAGTAATGCTGATCATATTGTTTGTTTATGCATAACCAGTGAGAATCCTCGTCAGCATGCATGCAGGCAGTTTGCGAAATGCCATGACTCCGAGCTTGTGCTGCTGCATGCGAAGTACATGCATGTCTTTTCTTAAATGCGGCAGCATGTCACGTACTAGTACTAGCACTAGTACTAGACTGTGCGATAACCAGCGATAACAGGCGTCGATTTTACGGCCCTTTGTGTGCCCCGCGACATTATGCTCGGCGAGAAACCGTATCAGGAAATTGATAGCGGTCTGCCTTCGCATTTCACCCTCCATTGGCAGCGTTCCGTTGCGTCAGCAGGAAAATGTAATTGAGACAATCGCGATCGAATCGATAACGTGGCTTCCATCCAGCATATGGGACGTCTATAATTCATGCGCGTCACGGAAGCTAGCATAATTCATCGAAATGATGTGATCTGAAGGCTAAAGTGAGAGTTCAACTTATGTGATACGCAGACTGTCATTGAAATAAAGGAGCGAATGTAGACTCACACACGCGCCGTGTTTTGCTTCAAAGAATTTCCAGATATTGACTTTTGCTGATATTTGAAATTCCAATCGTCTTTTCAATCGCCAAACGAACTCGCGAATTTTATGCCTTTTTAAGAAGGTTGTAAGGCTCAATGTTGTGTTTTTAGTGATACACCAAAGGATCACTCATAAACTTGCTATTTATCGAGACAAATTACGTTTCTATATATTTATTTCATTATCTAAGTAATAAATATTAATTTGAGACAAAATTAAGATAGGGATATGTATATATATACAATATTATAAAATATTACAAAAAAGATTTTATTTTTCTTATTTTTTTATTTTTCTTTTTTATTTTAATTTTTTTATGTCATTAGTTGATCTAACAGAAATGTACAGATGACACAAGGAGTCATATAAGTGTTTAAATATATATATATCTACACGGAGAGAATTTGTAATAAAAATTACAATATAATTTTAGTAGTTCGGGAATAAATTAGCATTATTACGAAAATTATAATAAAACATAGTAAAACTTACTATAAAAATGATAATTTTTACTATATTTATAGTAATTTTAATGGTAATAGTAAATGTTAGTAATAATTTTAATGTTCATGGCCACTTTTATTGTCTTATTATAATTTTCATCATAGTATCAATCTATTCCCGGAAAATTAAAATTGTATTGTAATTTTTACTACAATATTTTCTTTGTGTAAAAATGATGAATTTTTCACTGATATATTCTCTACATAAAACGAGGTTGATAATTCTAAAATTGGTATATAATGTCGATATATTAAACTTCTGTTAATAGTTATCACACTTGAAACTCATCTCAAGTGAGATACTAGACTTGAGTTCGGAGTTAGATGAGAGCTTTTCAGTTAAATCGCGACTACAGTTATAAAAATGTCACATATATCACATAATTCAACTGAGAAGCTTGGGTCTATTCTGAATAATCTGAATATCTCATGTGAGACAAGTTCCAGATGACAACTATACGAGCCTTAGTCTTTGATATCATAGCAGTTTTTCATTGAAATACTAATTTTAGTTTCCAAGAAATTAAAAGTAGAGAGAGAGAAATAGAAACAGCACGAATTAAAAGTAAAAATTAAAAACAGCACGCTAATCCTCCAAGGAACGCGTGTAAAAAGCATCAGCTTTAGTTTCAAATACCTCGATCCTCGAATCGTCAATGTCTTTTCAATTACCCGAGCAGTTGGGCGATAATTCAGTTTGTGTGTCAGGTCTTCAGTCTCGATGAATTCTTAATAAACGCATTTTACTTTACAACCTTCTCAAACGCACACATACGCACAGAGCGAGGGTGTGTCGAAAGAATCGACGTCACCGGTGGGATGTTCCCGATAGCATTTTTCGATATCGTGCGAGCCGACTTATTTGGAGTGCGCGCGCTCGGAAATTTATCGTACACCGCGGATACTTACGATATCGCGCATATGCGCAACGGTAATGCACGAGACGGGAGAAATATGCTCGAAGTAACCGCGCAAGTCGCGTATACACGCCGAAAATGATTTACGACTCTGCCAAACGTACGTATGCGCGTGTAGAAAGTTGACAAAGTGGCGCGGCTTTTTTCGAATTAACAGGGCGCACACACGCGACCGTCGCTCCTCGAGATACTACCCGCGGGGGGCAATAAGACGGAATAGCAAAGTGGCCTTTCAAGTGAGATGCATCGCCGCCGCCCTCCGGTTCTCCTCCGTGAGCTGTACGAATTCGATAAGAGGACTACGCCGAGACATTTGTCCGGTTTATGAAGATGCATTGGACTTTACCGATGCCGGTATATCGGTCCAGTAAATTTTGATCAGACCAATGTTAATCTTTGGAATGGCTATCATTCCGAACGATCCTAGACTCGATACCCATGCGGGTTCGAAGGACTGAGTTAAATCTCCGCTAAACCACTTAGCGATCACCATGAGAGAGAGAGAGAGAGAGAGAGAGAGAGAGAGAGAGAGAGAGAGAGAGAGAGAGAGAGAG